ATATATAGTGTGATTTGAAAAAAGAATGGCAACAAGAAGGACATTGGATGAAGCTCACTAGTAAGTGGCACAATTTTATTTGATTTTCTTTTTAGAATACCAACACAAAAGTTGAATGTGGGTGAATTTAAAATATGATCTACATTGTGACTGTACATCTGTGTGTGCAGTCCATGATTCAAGACTGATCCCTCTTGGCTGCCGTCAGCGCAAGCGCTGCTTGCAGGTCCCCTGCACTGTGTGCATGTGTCTTCATTGAGTGCTTGAGGGCTTTGTGCAGGTCCTCTGGGGCAAGCAGGCGGAGGCGGAGTAGAGAGTCGAGCAGCTGGGTGCGAGCATTCCCGATGAACGCGTGTGACAGGAACGAGGAGAGGCCTCCTCCATTTTTTGTAGTGTAGAGAGGGACTCGTACCATCCCAAGGACCTTGCCATAAGCGAGATAGGGGCAGTGGGGAACAGAGCATGGGATTGGGAAAAATGGCTGCAATCTGGCATTCTCGAGGCAACACTACCTCCTGGCCGTGATCTCTTGCTGTGGATGCAGACGCTTGCTCTACCTCCTTAATCTGCTCCTCTGTTAGCTTCTTCACATAGAAGTGAGTGATGAGACGGGGGGAGCAGGGAGCGGTTCTGGGGGCATGGCGAGCATCCACATGATCGTCTTCGGATATCGAAAGAGCCACACCCAGCTCCTCCTGTAATTCCCTACAAAGCCCCGCCTCCAGACTCTCTTGTGATTGATTAACAAACCTGGAGGATGGGCGGTCAAAGGTTTGGAAATAAAATAGGAATGCATATCAACAATTTGGGGGAAATTGCTCCAAAGTGACCTTCCACATGTGAGTTGAATCAATATGGAGAGCGGATTGATAACGAAAGGCCATCCGGATGAAGTTTTCAATTCACACGCCCCCAGGTAAATTGGAGGCAGGTGAGTTCAGAGTTTTACTTGAGAATTAAAGCATTACTGTTTTGCTGTTTAGTACTGAGCAGCCTTGAAAGTGGTTTGTGTATTTTCATTTTGCCATACTGTATGTTTCTTCTGAAGTTCTATCGGCCATCATCACATTTTTTTCCCATTCATTGGTCCTCTTCCGGGGTTTTGGAACAAAATTACAAAGACATGACAAAATACAATGAACAGTTCAACTTAATATGGTCTTGTGATTTCCTTGTGACTACTCCTGGAAGTACGCCACATTTTGCCCAGAAGGCATCAGAGATCGGCTCCAGCTCACCTGTGACCCGAATGAAACCAGGCACTAAAGAAGCATTCTTGACATTTTCCCTGAACCGAAGTCTGATGATACATTCAGGTCTCGCATGATGAAATGCCTCTGGGTTCTTAATTTTTGTGCAAGTTTGGAACCGTATATATGTCAAATAATTCCCGAATTGCTCAACTAATAGTCAACTTTTCCGTTGATGCAGTTAGGTTGATAGATGCACCCTTCTGAAGTTGAATTCCACCTTGATGGAATATGATCAGTAAAATAAATAGTCTCGTAAAAAGATGTAAGAAACTGAACAAAAATGATTGGATCTTTGAAATGCATTTTGAGATCATACAGAGAATTGGTAGATGGATGTGAAGTAATAAAATAAAAGCAGTAGGAGAGACTCACCCGCCAGGGAAACCCAGCAGACCGTCAAAGCGCATCTGCATCTGTGGGATGTGACAGGACAAAGGCTGTTATACACTCACACACCACTTCCAAACATGTTAACACATTTCCGACATAAACTAGTGAGAATTTAGCTCAAATTTAAATGCATAGGATTTTCCTAAGGCATTTCAAATGTTTGCATTTATGCCTGTCCCCCCCCCCTCACCAGTATGACATGTTTGATGGGAGTTCTACCAAAAAGCAGACTTTTCGTGTCAGAGTAGAGCATCACATGACATGCGTGTCTGTAGCCTGAGAAGGCCAATGCTTCGGCCCTTGACAGCTGTCCATTTGCCATCTACGAGTACAGAAACAAACAGTGCACTGTGATACAACATGACCCACTTGTCACAGTTCAGAGCATTCTCATATCCTTGAACGTTGCCCTTCTGCTGTGCAGTGAAAGCAAGACATCATTCAAGTTCTCTTATTGCTCCCCATCTTTCATATTCAAGCTTTTACCAAGACCTGCGGAAATGAAGTTGCGTGAATGTGTCAATCCAGGAAACACGCGGAAAGGCTGGGTATATGCAGAATGCTTTACTACCCTCTGGTGGTACAGGGTTGAAGGGTTCCACATTTTTCAGGTGTTGTTATGGGAATTGATCAAATGTCACATTTTAGTTTGGTGGTGTGCGGGGAGATTTGCTTTTAATGTAAAATATGTGCCTTGGTTTAGTAAATGTTGCGAAAACCGATTTACCATTTCATCATTTTTCTTGTCTTGACAAAAGTTGGGGTTCAAATGGAGTTATCCCATCTGATTTTGGATGAAAAAATTAATCCCAAGTGAACCAAACGTGCATGTTTTTTTTTCAAGCTGGAGTGCCTGAGCCCGACGTGCAAACCACTCTTTCTAAGACATAATATTTTAAAAAATGATAACGGTATATTTTTGCTGGACTAACAACTCCAAAGTCAAGTGACCCAAAAGTTGAACAATTTTTGGAACAATATCAATTACAAATCAAACAAGTAAATATTGTGATTGTATGATAAGTAAACAGTAAAAACAAAACATTTTTTACAAATCACATGCATACATTCCAACTCAACATTTGTTATATTATACCACTTTCACAACAGCTGCTGTCATGAAACAATTTACAGTCACTATACACAGTAGTCACAATAAAATATTTTTCTCCATTCCCATATATGCCTTGCTGGTTGAATATTTAAAATGTATTTGTTGATGCTGTATTATTACTTTTGGCTCACATGAGTGTTCGTAAAATAAATGATGAATAGAAATGGACGTTTGTTTTGTCTTTAAAAAAATACTTTAAAGTGACTCGATGTTGACACATCTATTTGTTGTTCTTTGTGGTTCTTTACATTGCGATATATTGTCTCATTTATAGCAGTGGTAATCGGGATTTGGTAATCTCGAAAACGGTGTAGCCTTTGAAAAATTGGACTAACAAATAAACGAATTAGTAGGATTACCTGATCATGCATAGAAAAACATTGGATTTGCCAATCCAGATCATTTTGCAGATTTCTTTTTTTTTTTTAAACAACTGGCGACATTGAAGGGCGATGTCATGATCACAGCATGTATGACATCACACATATCTGTATCTGTACAAACATTGAACAACGATATATTTAGAAACATGTTAAGTGAGATTCTATTTAACAGACACCACACAACAATTTATAATGATGTGACGGTTTTCAGACGGCGTTTGAAACCCAGAAACTGGAAATAACAATTACGTCAAACAGAAGATGGCTAGCTACGTTGGTAAACGTATTCTTGGTGCAAAATGTGAAATTACAAATTGCAAAAGAAGAGAGGAGTAACAGCCTCACTTTCCATCAACGCTGTGCTCAGCAACTTCCTGGATTTTATTGTTCAACTCAGAGATTGGGTGCTTTAATCACGTGTCTACGTGTAGCCAATAGCGAAGGAAGCACAGAAAGACTACACGTGGTTACACGTTTGCACTTCCGAGTCTGGGTAGTACGGTACAGATAAAGCTATTTGTGTCTGCGGCGGGATTAATCGTTTCCTCGTACAGCGATTGCTCCAGACGTAATCCGGAAAGCTCACACAGGTATCTTTTGACATTCGTGCAAATTTAACTCAAAGAATGTTTATACTACACAAGAAGAAAGACACCTAAAAGGGACGTTTATGGTATTTTTGGACTATGTCCTGCACTTTGTTAAAATCCCGTTTGCATAAGGCTAATAGGTGCATTATTACGTGTCAAACATTCATCCATCCATTTTCAACACCGGTTATGTTGAACAGGGTCGTGAGGGGTGTTGGATCTTACCCGAGCTAACTAATTTAGGGGGAAAGGCTGACGACCCCCCGAACTGGTCGCCACTCAGACGCAGGGCATATATTTAAGACAAACAACCATTCACACCGATATCCACACCGTCACTGAGTGGGAACCGATCCCACGCTGCCCACTCACAATTAAAATGCATGTGCAAAATATTTCTTGTTGCTCAATATTAAGTTTTGCAATTTCGTTCGATGAATGACACCAAACTAGTTAACAAGTATTAACAGCTGAATGTTCCTTGTATTGATAATTGCATAACTACACCTGTGCTACTATTCAACAAATTTCTATTTGCTCTGGGTGTATTTGTGTGTGTTTTATGTCTTAAATGTGTTTCAGAATGGCCCAAGGGATACCAAGTGATCTTCTGATGAATGCAACCCTCATAAATGATTTAGCGGTTGTGGCAAAAGATGCTGCACTTTTACAAGGTGTCCTTATGAGGGTTAAAGAATCCCCCAACTCCTCAGAGGTGAGAATTTTCCATCTTTTTGCCAGCGGTAGTAGGACCAGGGTTGGGAGGGTTACTTGTAAAAATGTATTCGGATACAGTTATGAGTTACCTGTTAAAAAAAGTATTTAGTCATGTGTTCTAAGTACCATAATATTAAAGTTAATGTAACTTGACATTTCATGGACCGGCAACCATTCACCGCCAAGGGGTGTGTGTGTGTGTGTGTGGGAGGGGGGGCTGTTAGGGGTTGAGTGGTGCTGATGTTTCGAAACATCTATTTTTTCATTGCTTTTAATTTGCCAATTTTAGAGCATTGGTAGTGACAACAAATATAATTATACAGTAATTTCAACATCATCGCTGACTTCTCTTTACTCATTGCGACATGTGTCAGTGGCATTGTGACAGAGGTGCAGCTGGCTGACACTTGGTGCTTCCTGAACAGGCTCATGAGGCCCAAGCAGAACATAATTTTCAATCATCTAACAAAGCGTTGTCATCCATGTTTACTTTAAAGTACTATATCAACACTTCAATGACATCGCTGCCATCTGCCTGGAAGTTGTATGTCAGGCTGGAAAAGAGGTACTGGTGTCGTAGTATTCGAGCGTTTTTTTTCGTGGAAGTGCAGACATAGCGAATCAGCACCGACACGGTATATGTCTTGCTACATTCCTGTTAGTTATTTAGCCTAATTGGAAAAAACTACTCAAAATGATTTCCAAGAGCCTTTGTTAGAGGGGTGGATTGTGGACCAAGGAAGTGTAGATCCAGATGCGGATCCCCATTTCGTTCCGAGCAATCACTTGTATATCACGATTGCACTTTTGTATTTTAGGTGGTGACATATGCCCCCTTCACGCTCTTCCCCACACCTGTGCCGAAAGCTCCTTTCCTCCAAGCCATGGCAGTGCAAACTCATTACAACACACTGGTTGATAAGATCAGCCAAGATCCTGACTTCCTGCAAGCGGCTCTTGCCAGGTAGAATGCCACCTTCATACTGGGGTGTCAAATATAAATCAAACCGAATAGACTGCAAGATGTCTCGTAAAATAAGAAAGATGCTTCAGATTTGAAGTTGAAAATGTTGGTCGGACAAACCTCTAAAATAGCCAGTTCTTTTTGCAATCTTTCTGAAGCTAATCGATAAACATTAAAAAATATAATGAAGGAAAACAATTGCCTTATTTTGACACATTTTTATATATTCTACTGCAGCACCATTGCTGTGGATGATTTCACTGCAAGATTGTTCAAGATCCACCAGCAGGTCCTGAAAGAAGGAAGGTTGCAGGTACGAGAGCCCACCTCAATAACATGCTTTTCCAAACGTAGCCATTAATTAAAAAAAACTTTTTTTAGCCAGGAATGCATTCAGGGACCTAACACTGAACAAAAAAAAAAAAGTCTGAAAATGTTCCAACTCATGATGTAAGTTTAGTTAAGATGAAGAATTACGTCTGTGCTGAACTAAGAAATGTTGTCCAAGCCTTCATAAAAACATCATTAAGATGGGTTTCCATAACCCATTTACTGCATGTTTATATTGAATTGCTATTTTGTGTGTGTGTGTGTGTGTGTGTGTGTGTACATATACAGTGTATATGGATATCTATCTATCTATCTATAGAAATTCTCTCTCTCCCTCTCTCTCTCTCTCTCTCTCTCTCTCTCTCTCTCTCTCTCTCTCTCTCTCTCTCTCTCTCTCTCTCTCTCTTTATATATACATTTTGTGATCCGGTTCGCGGGGGGTATGCTGCAGCCTATCCCAGCTGTCTTCAGGCAGTAGGCGGGGTACACCCTGAACTCGTTGCCAGCCAATCACGGGGCACACATAGATGAACACCCATTGGTGCTCGCAGTCAGACCTCTGGACAATTTAGAACATTCCATTAATCTGCCATGCATGTTTTTGGAATGTGGGAGGGAACCGGAGGACCCGGAGAAAACCCATGGGGAGGCATGGGGAGAACAAGAGGGAGGGAGGGGGGGGGGGGGGAGAGGGAGGGGGGGCGCGGAGAGAGAGAGAGAGAGAGCGAGAGGGAGAGATACACACACACATATTTATCTGTATATGTGTGCGTGCTTGCATATTGTACATACACACTAATTCCATTTTAGAGGTCACAATGTCTTGATCAGTGTCAGTCTGTCATACGGTATTCTTGCCGTCTTTCCAGTCAATTGTGTTGGGTCTGAATCGATCCGATTACATGCTGGACCAGAAGGAGGATGGACACACGTCTCTAAAACAGATCGAGATCAACACTTTTGCCGCTAGCTTTGGAGGCCTCTCATCACGAATGCCTGATGTACACCGGTAAAGTAGCCATCACCGTGTAACTCAAAAATCATTTGACATCCACCGATAGTGGTTTGGGGTTAATATACCAGAAAGATCCTGAGGTTGTTCAATTAGGAATGTGAGGAAAATCTCCATGTAAAAATGGACCTGAATCCAAATGAGGTTCAACCTCAGAGGTTGCAAAGAATGTATTCCCTTCATATTTTCTGTTTAATATTGATAAAAATGTTCTCTGCCTTATTACAACAGACACATTCTTAGGGTTGCTGGCCGGCTGGAAGAGAGCCAGCGCATCATTGACAACAACCCAGCAGTTGGTCTGGCCAAGGCCGTGGCCAAGGCCTGGGAGCTCTATGGATCAAAGCAGTAAGTCCACTCAAAACCTAAATAAACAACACTTGATTGTCTAAAAGCCCATTTCACTATCACTATCACTTGGGCTGTCCCAAGATGACCATTTCATACAATCATGCACCATATTTCGGATGCAAAATGCATCTCCAGTATGTGGTGGCAGAGTGTTCCACGGAACTCATGTTATCATTAAAGAGCGGTCGTCATGTTCTTGGTGGAGGAGAACCAGAGGAACGCCCTGGATCAACGATTTATTGAGAATGAGCTGTGGAAAAGGTAAATTGTGATTACTGAAGACCTTGGCAGTATCTTGAGTAAACTTGATGCTGAAACTAAACACCTTTGTTTTCAGGAATATTGCCACCATACGAAAGCGTTTTGAGGATGTCGCTGAATCCGGAAACCTTGATCAGGACAAGAGACTGTTTGTGTAAGTGTCCATCAATATCCAACTGCCATCTATTGTTTTGCTTTTTTTCATCCAACTCCATCCTGCCACTTATTCAGTGATAGCCAGGAAGTTGCGGTGGTCTACTTCAGGAATGGCTACATGCCTCAGAACTACGAGTCTGAAAAGGTATACCAAAAATACGTACACGTGGACTTATTTAAGGTGAAGCACACTCATTTTTTAAACATGCATTCATTTCGCGTATGTGTTGTAGTATGCACAGTATGGACTTATTTCTTTAAGGTGAAGCACACTCATTTTTTAAACAAGCATTCATTTCGCGTATGTGTTGTAGTATGCACAGTTCAAATTTTTCATTAAATTACACGATCAACATTTAACTCAAGAAAGGACACGTACAGTATATGAAACATTTTCCATTCTTGGATCAATCAGAAAATGTGCTGACTCTCGACCGCGCTGTTTCTGGGGAGCCCCCAAAATCCACTGACAATGTGACCGGGATGGAATTCTTCTTTTCGTGTTGTCAGCTCGTAGTCACATGCTTCCTGTCCCTGTGTCAAATTCAAACAAACTTGTTTATGCTCTGCTGCCCAATAGGATCTCTGCTTTGTCAAGGATAGAGAGCAAATGCACACTTGAAACACTTTTTAAAAATCTGTTTATGTGCACTTCAGAAATGAGAAAACTGCATCTCGTCCTCAATCAGTCGATGGTTCTGCTTAATGAAGTTTTGAGACTGTCGAGTTGAAGATGACAAATCTAGATTAGATAGATAGTACTGTCATTCAAACATGTTCATTCATGTGCAAGGCGTGGTTAGCCAAACACGCAAAGGCAAATAAAAATGTTCAAGTATGCCAAGAAGGAGGACGAGCAACTTTCTGTTCCAATCCTCAGGGTTCCCCCTAGAAAACTTGCAGCCGAGTTCAACCAGCCTCAGAATAGATATTTCACGTTCGTCAGTGTAATGTATTTACATTATTTATTGGTCAGCCTGTCACGATAATTTTTTCACAATATATTTACCCAGAAAATATTGTTTGTTGGTTTTATTTATTTTTTTATTTATATAAAAAAAAAAAACAAGTGATTGATTATGTTAGGCAGTGGTTCTGAACCTTTTTAGAGGTACCAAACCCAACCAGTTAATATGCACATTCACCAAACCCTTCATTAGTGAAAAATAAATATATATCTATTTTTTACAAATTCAAGATATTAAAAAAAACACTTTTATTAAAAACAGAAAAAAGAATAGTGGCAGAAAAGCCTGGTGGCCTGCTAAGTTTATTTAGCGCCAGGGAGACCCTGATATCAAGTGGCACTGGTCATTGTCTCTGACCAACGGCTCAACTGTACTGCTGATGCTGATGTGAAGACTGTCTCCCTCACTAGTGTGGAAGCCTCTTGCACATCAGTATCCAGCTACCAGACCCCCTTAAAACCTAGCTCTTGAATTGTACTTAAGTGTTCGATAAAATTTAACTAGTCGACAAATGTACTGCATTGCGGGTGAGGGGTGGGGGGCAAGCTTGAGCCAAATAACATATAAGTTGCACGGTTTGAATGTTCTAATTCAACGATTCTGACTTGTCACTGGAGTAGAACTGGTACCACACAAGAATCACTGTTCTGACTTATAGGCTTGGGAGGCTCGCCTGATGATGGAGTGCTCTTTGGCTGTGAAGTGTCCGGATATCAGCACCCACCTGGCTGGAACAAAGAAGGTGCAGCAGGTGCTTGCTAAGCCCGGTGTTCTGGAACACTTTTTCCCTGACCAGCCACAGATAGTGGCGCAAGTCAGGGCCACATTTGCTGGCCTCTACACTCTGGACATGGTGAGCAACAACACTTTTTCATTTGTACCGTTCCACGCCAGCTCTTTTGCCACTCCATGCTGTGACACTGCAAATGTATGTGCAACATTGCAAAGACGGTGCATCCCAAATCCCCATCCACAGATGATGCTGGTGGCTCACAAGATGTCAAGCATATGCCAAAGCAACAGGCTACACTATAATCAAAGATTTGCTCAGCGGAATCCGTGAAAAAACAGGCAGTCATAGCTGTGAACTGATCATTTCTCATGGGTAATATGCCAAACTAGAAGTCCATTGTCATGGAGGTCCACAATGTATCCCAACAGTCATCTTATAATTATTGATGATGCTGTTTATTACCATGTTGAGTTCTTCAGAGACATACAAATAGCCATCATCTCCATTCTTATAGTGGCCTATAAGAATGGAGGCAAAAAAACAACACTTGTTTTCCTGTCCATGTCTGACCCTGCAAACTGAGGGATCCTTTTATACATCACTGTCCTTTAACAAAAAAAAAAAAAAACTCTTATGTAAATGGTTTTAATACTTTGACCGGCATGCCTGTTCAATTGGTAACTAAAATGATCTGGATGGTGTGTGTGTGTGTGTGTGTGTGTGCGTGTGTGCGTGTGTGCGTGTGTGCGTGTGTGCGTGTGTGTGCGTGTGTGTGCGTGTGTGGATATAGATCCTGTCTTTTTGTGTGTGTGTGTGTGTGTGTGTGTGTGTGTGTGTGTGTGTGTGTGCGTGTGGATATAGATCCTGTCTTTTGAGGAAGTTTCCTTTCAGCCAGTATGCAATGTCATTGTTACATAATGATGACAATCCTTGCCATGGTTTCACTTCTTTGTCCTCAAGGGAGCAGAAGGCGACAAAACTGTTGCAATGGCTTTGGCGACGCCAAATCGGTTTGTCCTGAAGCCTCAGCGAGAAGGAGGAGGTACGTTGACAAAAAAACAAAATGTCATGCAAAACCGCTATCCCATCCATTTTCTATGCTGTTTATAACTCCAAGGTGACATTTTATGGGTTTGGGAAGGTTCATCCCTATGCTGTGGCTGCCAGTGGCTTCAGAAAATAAATTCAGTGAATCGTTTTCATCTTTAGTTTTTTTTTTAATGTACCGGTAATTATAAATGTAAAGATCATGAAAATAAGGTCAACAGTTTCACACTCAAACCAAGAACTTATTGGATTAAAACCAAACCATTAGTTTTGAGATTTGGAGATTTTGTGATATGGTTATTTATTAATGGTTGTATATTATGACAAAGGAAAGAGTGATCAATCTTCATTTTAGATGTCAAAATGGTTTTGTGTCTCCCACTTTTTTTTCCCTGTAGGTAAAATGGTACAAATAGCTCTTTGAGTATTCAAGGATTATGATGTTGGGGTTAGTCTCCCCCCCCCCCCCCAAGCATTGCAGGATCCAGAAAATTAAGATAGATGGATAGGATGAATAAATAAAATCTACTTCATTATCCCAAGGAAACAACATTTACGGACAAGAGATCTGTGAGGTTCTTGGCAAAGTGAAGGACAGTGCTGAGAGGACGGCCTTTATTCTGATGGATAAGATCCAGCCCGTGCCCACACAGAACTACTTGCTGAGAAGAGGCACGCCCCTTCAAATTAGTAATTGTCTCAGTGAGCTGGGCTTCTTTGGAACCTATGTCAGGTAAGCAGTCACCATTGATTTTTGATTGTGTCCGTTAACGCGGCAAAATACACATCCAATGTTGGATATTCTTTTTTTTTTTATTATTTTTAATTCTGCCTGGTGCATGCACTCTGACAGACCAAAAGAGTTGGAGCGCCTCCACCCTATTTTTTTCAGCCAAGTACTGGTCGGAACATTAAAACATGCACTCGCGCTAGGGCAACCGAATAAAAGTTTTACCAGCACGCACTGTCGTGATGGCATTTGCGAGCATATTGGGCGTAGTGTCGAGCCCAGTGTGAAGAATTTCATTTCAGCCACTGTCGGATACTTGTTTCAGCTAGGAATTGCTACGATCAAGAACACAAATGTCTTTCTTATTCCTCACGTCATCCCTTTGCAGGCATGGTAAAGACATGGTGATGAACGACTGTGTGGGCCATCTTCTGAGGACCAAAAGTTCAGAACACTTGGATGGTGGGGTCGCAGCAGGAGTGGCAGTTTTGGATAACCCGCTCCTCTTCTGAGAAGGTGCACTGGTATTTGGATGACAACAGAAGTCGCTCAAATGCACCATCTTTTTATGTATTTCATAGGAATACCCACTGCTACCTCATGCAAGTCTACGTTGAGAAAGGAAAAAGTCAAATGGCAGTTGTGGCAATCATCTACATTGATAATTTCAAAAGTTAATCAACATTTGTGATTGCAGAAATTCAAGGCGGGGTGAATGACAACTACCGGTACTTATGATTTCAGTTTGGGATTTTTTTTTAGGCATTTTTTTGATGTGATTTATTTTGGGGTTTTTTTGTTTTGTTAATTTGGTATGTTTTTTGGTATCTTCAAATAACAAGGAAGCAGCAAAAGGCTGGGAAAAGTTGTTGAAGCTTGATGAAATTAGTTTTAAAATGTTATTCACATCCCTGCTAATGTAAATCTGAAAATATTATTATTATAGGATCCTAGTATAATCGACGGTCTTGCTCACGAAAGACAGAAAACCTCCAAAAATGATGGACTTAACACGGACAGAAGTGGGTTTTCCACCATCGGTCTCATCGTCACCAACTCGGTACCGCCAAGCTTCCTAAACAGGCCCAAAAATACCCACAATAAGTTAAATCCATGACAATTATAGTTTATCTGGGCTCGAAAAAAATGATTTGTAAAATATTTGTGTAAATTGCCCACCTCTGCTTGCTTACTGGTACTTCTCGCTTTGGGTTGTTTTAATTAGCATAGATGTGTTGTAAGGGAACATGTGGTGGACCCCACTATTCTTGAGGGCTAGGGACCAGTCGGGTAATCAGTGTATAATTGACAGCCATTGAAATGCATTGGTGTAAAAAAAAACAAAACAAAACAAAAATGTTTTCCGTGAAAAACAAAAAACTATACATTGGGGGAAAAAAGAAAAACTCGGCAAGTACGTGAATCCGCAGGTGCTGATCCGTGAGTATGTGGGTGTCCACCGTACCACCTAAAAGTACAAAAGAATTGTTAACTTACTGCATCCATCTACTTTGACAAAACAAACCCTAATTTCATGAGACCACATGACACTGAATTGGACAGTTGTCTTCTTACCTCATCCAAACGTGTTTTTGAAAGTTGGACCATTCAACACTCTTTTAAGTCTCTCTTTGCCTGTCTTCAACTGACAGGACTGTTGTTTTATGTTTGTGAAACGATAGCAAACGTGTGCATTATTATTATTATTTTTTTTAACTCTAGGACATAAACAACGAAAAGCATCTTTAGTGTGAGTTTACGAAATCAATCATTGTCTTTACTGGCTCAGGGTACAACTGGATTCTTTTTGACTGTGATCAGCGTGTCAAACATTGACAAGTACTGTACTGTATGTCCATCTAGTGGGACTCTTGTGTTACTGCACTGTTTTTTGAACACTACAAACCTTTTTTTAAGCGGGCTACACACATACCGACAATCAGGACAAATATGAGTATTTCCCCTCTCTTGCGGTTATACACAGCAAAGTCTCCACTCTCAGATCTCTCTAAAAGACTATCCCGAGAGATTATCCCAGGCTGTGTTGAGTGATTTTATTATTATTATTATTTTTTGTCCTCCTAAGAAGCTCTGATTGTCAGTCAGTCTTGGTACGATGACAGGCGTTATGCATGCAGTATGTGTGGTGTGCCGTGTTGTTAATCTCGAGTACTCCACACAGGCCAGGAGTAAGCACACACGGTTCATTTTGATTCTTCGTCATCTGTGGGATCTCTCACCTTTTAGAAATCGGTCAAGACAAAAACTAGATTTAAAAAAAAATCGGTACATCTGTAACCTGCAAAACCTGATAATCAAGGTTGGTTCTATGAGGATGACTACATGCACAGTTATCTTCGAGGCCTAAAGAAAGGCCGTGCCTTTTCGGACACTTTATGTTGGACCTTTTTATCTGTTTCATGTTTTAGACCGAGTGAAGATTGTGCAGGGTCTGTGTATTTCATCCAATGGAAATAAAAATGATTAAAAAAAAAATGTTTGTTTTGTGCTTATTTTACATTACATCACTTGAACAGTGGCATTTGTCAATTGCAGTCTTGTCATTTTGATTAGTATTTGTTTGTTTGGTTCTTTTTGGGGTGTATTGTTACAGGACTGCTTTAGGTTAGCGGCTAACCGTTAGCCCAACTTAATTCGGTTGAGTTGGCTGCAGTGTAGCCTCTGGGCCTTTTCTGGGTTTTGTCCTGGGAGGAGTCCTTCTCTGTAGGTTTAACAGCGGGTCTCAGTTGAGGGGTCATGAGGTTCTGTTTCAGGTGGCAGTGAACGTGGGTGCCGCTTCCATTTAACCCTCCTCTTACATCGGCACAAGAACTGAGGGTACACAGAGATGGAGGGAGGATGAGGACCTGAGGGAAATTTGAAGAAGATCAGACAGATGGGTGGTGGGGGGGGGCAAGGTTATGGATGGCGTTAAATGTATAGAGAAAGATTTTGAAGTTGATTTTAAGTTTGGCAGGGAGCCTGTGGAGCTGTCGGAGGATGGGCGTGATGTGATGAAAGGAAGGGGTTCTAGTGATGATCCGGGCTATCTGTATATTGTTACAGAGTGAAAAGAGAGTCTTTGTATTTCCAAGATTAGAGCAGATGAGTCCAGAGTAGTATTGTGATTTAGCTTGAGAGATAGAGTCCTTGTAAAGGGATAGTTGAGCTGTGTAGATGTTCTTGTGAACAGTGAGACCAGTTTTCCTGTCGAGTCTTTCAAGCTGCTGAGTTTTGGATTTTATGGAACGGAGATAAGGGGTGCACCAGGGGGCAGACTGGGTAAAAAAGACAGAGCGGCATTTGCCAGGAGCGAGCGTACTGACAATGTCGGTGAGACCGGAGTTGTATCGGGAAACCAATTCATCAGGAGAGGAATCATGAGTCCGGAGTCAGGGCAGCGATGCATGAAGCGAGAGAGTCAATGTGAATGTCTTTCATATTACGGTAAGAGATGGTATGGGGTGATTTTGAGAGAGAGATCTGGAGGATAACGTTACATGAAGTGAGGAAGTGGTCCGTGATAGGAAGTTCATCAGCAGGACAGTTGGATGGGGTAAGACCAGAGCAGCAAATTATATCCAGGGTGTGACCTTTATTGTGTGTGGGAAGTCTGCAAACTGATGGAAACCAAAACTGTCAACCGAAGAAGCGAGGTCCATGAAAAGAGGAAGGGCTGTATTGTCCATGTGTATCCTGAAATCCCCAAGTATAATTATATTTGGTGAGAGAGAGAGAAGAGATGGGTGAGGACAGCAGACAATTCATTTAAAAGGAGGCATCAATGCACCCAGCCCAGGAGGTGCTAGTGGACACAGCAGACCCAAAGGCCAGTTGGGACCCCCATGCACCCCCGTGACAGAGTGAGGGTCATCTGTGGCCCTGTGCTCAAGGAACGACATAAAGCCCCAGCACCGATGAGCAGATCCGCCAAGTGGATGCACAGGGAGGTTAGGCCAGGCATCCGCCCCACCCACAACGTATGGGAGGAGGAAAGAATCGCATGGCATTCTCCACAGGCAAAAAGGAATCAAAGATCAAAGTCCAGCAGACCGTTCAAAGGTAAGCAGCTTTCAATCTAATTATATCGTTGATTATTTCATTTTGCCCATATTTTTTTCCTAAACTAACGTAACATTTGATTAGCATTAACAAGTGATTATCAACATGGTTTGAATTGTGAAAACCAAAGTATAACAAGTATTGATTGTGATGATTGATTTGGGAGGTTGGTAATTTTTAAATCCCCGAGTATACATCATCTTGGAGGGGATGGAATCCTGCAGCTCAAGTACGGAGCATTTCTGCCTAACAAAAGTCCGAAAGCTTTGAACCGGTCTGCATTCCCATGAAATAAGGTGTCTGCAGTATTTTCACTGCGTTGCATGCACTGAACATTGTGCATGCAACACAAGATGTATTGCATGTACCATTTTTGTCCATATTGTATTGAGTAATATGTGTTTGATGGAGTGTTTTTAAAATCAAAGCTAAGCAAATCATAAACTCGATCTCAAAATCAAGGTTTATAATTTAACCCTTTTCATGACAGCGGTCACTACAGTGGACAGTTTACCATGTGATAAGGTTACAGGGTGCATGAAAGGGTTAATGTTCTGATTGATTAATGACAGGGTGAAATAACACGTGTAAGAACAAGTGGATGTTTTTATTGCAGATTTCCATCCACTTTGACTGTGTTTCACGTGTCTTAAAAATCAATCCAATCAGAATGGCTGAAGGGAGACGAAATGATTTACTGATGAACACCACCCTAATAAATGAGCTGGCAGAAGTGGCAAAAGATTCAGCAGTTATGCAGGGTTTCCTTGTGAGGCTTAAAGAATCCCCCAACTCATCAGAGGTGACAGTTTCCCGTCTTTTGGAAAATTGTTTTTATGGTGACAAAATTTGGTGGAGGGAAGGAGGATGGGCCAGCAGATCACTTGTGTTCTTTGTATTTTAGGAGGTGACGTATGCTCCCATCACGCTCTTCCCCACGCCAGTGCCAAAAGCTATTTTCCTCCAAGCCATGGAAGTGCAGATTCACTTCAACATGCTGGTGGATAAGATCAGCCAGGATCCTGATTTCCTGCAAGCGGCTCTTGCAAGGTGCGATGCCGACTTCATATTGGGGTCTAATCACACATCATAGCTGAATAGAATCATCATGAAGCAAAGGAGTTTTTTTTTTTTTTTTTTTTGACCAGAAAATATGTTGTTGATTTCGACAAACCTTCTCGAAAATCGACATTATTTTGACATCTTTGTCAAAAAATATAACACCTTTTATTTTGACACATTTTCGTGTTCTAGCACCATTACTGTGGATGATTTCACTGCAAAGTTGTTCAAGATACACCAACATGTCCTCAAAGAGGGAAGGCTGCAGGTACGTAATTCCAACCTGGACAAACCTGCTTGTCACACTTGATGAGCTAAGCATGCATTCAGGGAACATGCTGCTCTGTGGCTTAGTCAAAGAGAACAATAGAAAAAAAAGCCACAAACTAATCATATCACAACACTCACTCTATTGCTCATTGTCGTTAAGACTAAGGAATGTCGTCCAAGCCCCGGGGGAGTAATAATAAAAACAAAATGCCTCATTGACACATTCATAGCACTCCTGATTGCAACTGAATTTGCTTCATCATTCCCATACCTTGAATAGAAGGTGCATTCATGAAACGTGCCCGATCAATGCAGTAGGCATATTCCACTTAATATGTCAAACTACCGTGGACGACAAGCATGCAGAGTAAACGAATAAACCTCAAGAAACACACTCATTTGACATATTTGATGATGCTTAGGGCACCAGTACTTTTGTTCATTGATTGCATATCTTTGAATTACTACTTGTGTGTGTGTGTGTGTGTGTGTGTGTGTGTGTGCGTGTGCAAATAGAGCATCATGTGAATGATACGCGTTTGTCAGTTTCCACGAGCAAAATACAACGTTTAGATCCTCGTTCGTTCCTTGAATTCGGGAAGAATGAAATACTGGGTTCCATTTCAACACCGTTATGAGTACAAAAACACAGCGTTCAAATGTTTAATAATTAAGGATGGGTGGTATTTCAACACCCCCGCCCCCCCATCGCGATTAACCCATGAACGGTAAAACCCAGAACAAGCGTCTCTCAGTCTCGACTCAACATGAT